TTTATCAAATGTCTTGCATTTGGACAATTCTTTGAATTTTTCCAGAACATCATGTTAGAAAAAACGCTTTTTCTCACTGACTTGAGTACATTGTCACATGCACATTCAAGATAATCTTTACGCATTTCAACTAGATGCACGTTATTAATATTAGTAAATACAACTTCCATTTGGGGAATCATTTTACAATGCATTGATTCAACTCATCATACTTGTAGGATTTATAACAGAAACAACAACATCTGATGTTGTGTCATCAACATTACCACCAATTTCTACCCAAGAAACATTTGAAACAACAGCTCAAACTAAATCTACTCAGAACATTATTACAACAGAAGAAACGGCCACTGAAGGAACTGATTATACCATGGTTTCTGGGACGGATCTTACTAAAACATCTGAACGTGCAACAAGTACATTTGAAAGTTCTACTTCAACTGATTTGCCTACAGGTACTTTCTCAACAGGTAAATAGGTCTTTTCATGTGGTAGTTTCTTTAAGGAATCAACACGTTTCACATAATAACAACAATCTGCACATTACATGGTACCAAGTTCTAAATTCAAGGTATATCAAAGGGAGTGCCTTGTAACTATAATTCTTTTCCATATCTGTCTGAATTCACTTATTGTTTTCTGCATTCAGTTCACATAATGTTATGTACTTTATTTTACCCTGGTGCTTTATAGCCTAAATCTTTTTCAAATGTCTTCGCATTTGGACAATTCTTTTCATTTTACCAGAACGTCATGTTAGAAAAAACGCTTTTTCCCACCTGACTTTGAGTACATTGTCACATGCACATTCAAGATAATCTTTATGCAATTCAACTAAATGCACCTTAGTATTATTAGTAAATACAACTTCCATTTGGGGAATCATTTTACAATGCATTGATTCAACTCATCATACTTTTAGGATTTATAACAGAAACAACAACATCTGATGTTGTGTCATCAACATTACCACCAATTTCTACCCAAGAAACATTTGAAACAACAGCTCAAACTAAATCTACTCAGAACATTATTACAACAGAAGAAACGGCCACTGAAGGAACTGATTATACCTTGGTTTCTGGGACTGATCTTACTAAAACATCTGAACGTGCAACAACTACATTTGAAAGTTCTACTTCAACTGATTTGCCTACAGGTACTTTCTCAACAGGTAAACAGGTCTTTTCATGTGGTAGTTTCTTTAAGGAATCAACACGTTTCACATAATAACAACAATCTGCACATTACATGGTACCAAGTACACAATTCATGGTATTTCAAAAGGAGTGCCTTGTAACTATAATTCTTTTCCATATCTATCTGAATTCACTAATTGTTCTCTGCATTCAGTTCGCATATTCTTATGTACTTTACTTTACTCTGGTGCTTTATAGCCTAAACCTTTATCAAATGTCTTTGCATTTGGACAATTCTTTGAATTTTTCCAGAACATCATGTTAGAAAAAACGCTTTTTCTCACCTGACTTTGAGTACATTGTCACATGCACATTCAAGATAATCTTTACGCATTTCAACTAGATGCACCTTATTAATATTAGTAAATACAACTTCCATTTGGGGAATCATTTTACAATGCATTGATTCAACTCATCATACTTGTAGGATTTATAACAGAAACAACAACATCTGATGTTGTGTCATCAACATTACCACCAATTTCTACCCAAGAAACATTTGAAACAACAGCTCAAACTAAATCTACTCAGAACATTATTACAACAGAAGAAACGGCCACTGAAGGAACTGATTATACCATGGTTTCTGGGACGGATCTTACTAAAACATCTGAACGTGCAACAAGTACATTTGAAAGTTCTACTTCAACTGATTTGCCTACAGGTACTTTCTCAACAGGTAAATAGGTCTTTTCATGTGGTAGTTTCTTTAAGGAATCAACACGTTTCACATAATAACAACAATCTGCACATTACATGGTACCAAGTTCTAAATTCAAGGTATATCAAAGGGAGTGCCTTGTAACTATAATTCGTTTCCATATCTGTCTGAATTCACTTATTGTTTTCTGCATTCAGTTCACATAATGTTATGTACTTTATTTTACCCTGGTGCTTTATAGCCTAAATCTTTTTCAAATGTCTCGCATTTGGACATTCTTTTTCATTTTACCAGAACATCATGTTAGAAAAACGCTTTTTCCCACTGACTTGAGTACATTGTCACATGCACATTAAGATAATCTTATGCGATCAACTAGATGCACTTTAGTATTATTATTAAATACAACTTCCATTTGGGGAATCATTTTACAATGCTTTGATTCAACTCATCATACTTGTAGGATTTATAACAGAAACAACAACTTCTGATGTTGTGTCATCAACATTACCACCAATTTCCACCCAAGAAACATTTGAAACAACAGATCAAACTGAATCTACTCAGAACATTATTACAACAGAAGAAACGGCCATTGAAGGAACTGAGTTTACCTTGGTTTCTGGGACTGATCTAACTAAAACATCTGAACGTACAAGCACTACATTTGAAAGTTCTACTTCAACTGATATGCCTACAGGTACTTTCTCAACAGGTAAATAGGTCTTTTCATGTAGTATTACCTTTAAGGAATCAACACGGTTCACATAATAACAACAATCTGCAGATTACATGGTACCAAGTTCTCAATTCAAGGTATATCAAAGGGAGTGCCTTGTAACTATAATTCTTTTCCATATCTATCTGAATTCACTAATTGTTCTCTGCATTCAGTTCACATATTCTTATGTACTTTACTTTACCCTGGTGCTTTATAGCCTAAATCTTTTTCAAATGTCTTCGCATTTGGACAATTCTTTTCATTTTTTCAGGACATCATGTTCGAAAAAACGCTTTTTCCCACCTGACTTTGAGTACATTGTCACATGCACATTCAAGATAATCTTTATGCAATTCAACTAGATGCACCTTATTATTATTAGTAAACACAACTTTCATTTGGGGAATCATTTTACAATGCATTGATTCAACTCATCATACTTGTAGGATTTATAACAGAAACGACAACATCTGATGTTGCGTCATCAACGATACCACCAATTTCTACCCAAGAAACATTTGATACAACAGCTCAAACTAAATCTACTCAGAACATTATTACAACAGAAGAAACAGTCACTGAAGGAACTGATTATACCTTGGTTTCTGGGACTGAACTAACTAAAACATCTGAACGTACAAGCACTACATTTGAAAGTTCTACTTCAACTGATTTGCCTACAGGTACTTTCTCAACAGGTAAATAGGTCTTTTCATGTGGTAGTTTCTTTAGGTTTGAACATGTTTTACATAATAACAACATACTGGACATTACATGGTACCTAGTTCTCAATTCAAGGTATATCAAAGGGAGTGCCTTGTAACTATAATTCTTTTCCATATCTATCTGTATTCACTAATTTTCTCTGCATTCAGTTCACATATTCTTATGTACTTTACTTTACTCTGGTGCTTTATAGCCTAAATCTTTTTCAAATGTCTTCGCAATTGGACAATTCTTTTCATTTTTCCAGAACATCATGTTAGAAAAAACGCTTTTTCCCACCTGACTTTGAGTACATTGTCACATGCACATTTAAGATAATCTTTATGCGATTCAACTAGATGCACCTTAGTATTATTATTAAATACAACTTCCATTTGCGGAATCATTTTACAATGCATTGATTCAACTCATCATACTTGTAGGATTTATAACAGAAACAACAACTTTTGATGTTGTGTCATCAACATTACCACCAATTTCCACCCAAGAAACATTTGAAACAACAGCTCAAACTGAATCTACTCAGAACATTATTACAACAGAAGAAACGGCCATTGAAGGAACTGAGTTTACCTTGGTTTCTGGGACTGATCTAACTAAAACATCTGAACATGCAACAACTACATTTGAAAGTTCTACTTCAACTGATATGCCTACAGGTACTTTCTCAACAGGTAAATAGGTCTTTTCATGTAGTATTACCTTTAAGGAATCAACACGGTTCACATAATAACAACAATCTGCAGATTACATGGTACCAAGTTCTCAATTCAAGGTATATCAAAGGGAGTGCCTTGTAACTATAATTCTTTTCCATATCTATCTGAATTCACTAATTGTTCTCTGCATTCAGTTCACATATTCTTATGTACTTTACTTTACCCTGGTGCTTTATAGCCTAAATCTTTTTCAAATGTCTTCGCATTTGGACAATTCTTTTCATTTTTTCAGGACATCATGTTCGAAAAAACGCTTTTTCCCCACCTGACTTTGAGTACATTGTCACATGCACATTCAAGATAATCTTTATGCAATTCAACTAGATGCACCTTATTATTATTAGTAAACACAACTTTCATTTGGGGAATCATTTTACAATGCATTGATTCAACTCATCATACTTGTAGGATTTATAACAGAAACAACAACATCTGATGTTGTGTCATCAACATTACCACCAATTTCTACACAAGAAACATTTGAAACAACAGTTCAAACTCAATCTACTCAGAACATTATTACAACAGAAGAAACGGCCACTGAAGGAACTGATTATACCTTGGTTTCTGCGACTGATCTAACTAAAACATCTGAACGTGCATCAATTACATTTGAAAGTTCTACTTCAACTGATTTGCCTACAGGTACTTTCTCAACACGTAAATAGGTCTTTTCATGTAGTAGTTCCTTTAAGGAATCAACACGTTTCACATAATAACAACAATCTGCACATTACATGGTACCAAGTTCACAATTCAAGGTATATCAACGGGAGTGCCTTGTAACTATAATTTATTTCCATATCTATCTGAATTCACTAATGTTCTCTGCATCAGTTTCCATATTCTATGTACTTACTTTACTCTGATGCTTATAGCCTAAATCTTTTTCAAATGTCTTCGCATTGGAGAATTCTTTTCATTTTTTCAGAACATCATGTTAGAAAAAACGCTTTTTCCCACCTGACTTTGAGTACATTGTCACATGCACATTCAAGATAATCTTTATGCAAATCAACTAGATGCACCTTAGTATTATTATTAAATACAACTTCCATTTGGGGAATCATTTTACAATGCATTGATTCAACTCATCATACTTGTAGGATTTATAACAAAAACAACAACATCTGATGTTGTGTCATCAACGTTACCACCAATTTCTACCCACGAAACATTTGAAACAACAGCTCAAACTAAATCTACTCATAACATTATTACAACAGAAGAAACGGCCACTGAAGGAACTGATTATACCTTGGTTTCTGGGACTGATCTAACTAAAACATCTGAAGGTGCAACAACTACATTTGAAAGTTCTACTTCAACTGATTTGCCTACAGGTACTTTCTCAACAGGTAAATAGGTCTTCTCATTTGGTAGTTTCTTTAGGTTTGAACATGTTTTACATAATAACAACATACTGGACATTACATGCTACCAAGTTCTCAATTTAAGGTATATCAAAGGGAGTGCCTTGTAACTATAATTCTTTTCCATATCTATCTGAATTCACTAATTGTTCTCTGCATTCAGTTCACATATTCTTATGTACTTTACTTTACCCTGGTGCTTTATAGCCTAAATCTTTTTCAAATGTCTTCGCATTTGGTCAATTCTTTGAATTTTTCCAGAACATCATGTTAGAAAAAACGCTTTTTCCCACTGACTTTGAGTACATTGTAACATGCACATTTAAGATAATCTTTACGCATTTCAACTAGATGCACTTATTAATATTAGTAAATACAACTTCTATTTGGGGAATCATTTTACAATGCATTGATTCAACTCATCATACTTGTAGGATTTATAACAGAAACAAGAACATCTGATGTTGTGTCATCAACATTACCACCAATTTCTACCCAAGAAACATTTGAAACAACAGCTCAAACTAAATCTACTCAGAACATTATTACAACAGAAGAAACGGTCACTGAAGGAACTGATTATACCTTGGTTTCTGGGACTGAACTAACTAAAACATCTGAACGTGCAACAACTACATTTGAAAGTTCCACTTCAACTGATTTGCCTACAGGTACTTTCTCAACAGGTAAATATGTCTTTTCATGTAGTAGTTCCTTTAATGAATCAACACGTTTCACATAATAACAACAATCTGCACATTACATGGTACCAAGTTCTCAATTTAAGGTATATCAAAGGGAGTGCCTTGTAACTATAATTCTTTTCCATATCTATCTGAATTCACTAATTGTTCTCTGCATTCAGTTCACATATTCTTATGTACTTTACTTTACTCTGGTGCTTTATAGCCTAAATCTTTTTCAAATTTCTTCACACTTGCACAATACTTTTCATATTTTCAGAATATCATGTTAGAAAAAAACACTTTTTCCCACCTGACATTGTGAGTACATTTTCACATGCATATTCAATATAATCTTACGCAATCAA